TCTCTCTCTCTCTCTCTCTCTCTCTCTCTCTCTCTCTCTCTCTCTCTTTCTCCCCCTCCTTCTTTTGCTCCTGCTGCTCGTGCGCGCGTTAAGCTAAATATTATCGTGTCATATAACGGACGATGCGCGCGCGTTAATAAATGCATTAGCTTGACGTGGGCGATGCGATTAATCGTCGTTAATTACACGAACTCGGCGTCGAGAAGCGGGGGCTTCCGTTAAGCTTTACAGTATTTCGCATCGACATCGCGCGGAGGGTGGAGAACGCGCGCGAACATCCCGATATTCCGCATCGATTTTCGGGGCATTAAACGCGCGCGATTAATTAATTTGATCAGCGACGATAAACGCGCGACGTTATTACGTAACCGGTTTCACCCGGACGTCGTCGTCGTCGTCGTTGTCGTCGAGACTACCACCGAATGACGTAATTTCGTCCCCGTGAGAGAATCTCGAACCGTCTTTCTCTCTCTCTCTCTCTCTCTCTCTCTCTCATTGTCGTGACGATTCTCCCTCTCTCTTTCCTCCTCGCTTGGAAAATCTCATCAAACATTCCTCTCTCTTCTCTTTTCCTTATCGCGTAAGTAGAAGTGTCAATGCCCGTACGCGTACTTAATTCTAGACATTCTTATTGTTTTAATCTTTAAAACTATGAATATTTTAATTCTCAAAATATAAAATATAAAAATATAAAATATATAATATAAAAATATAATATATAATATATAAATATAAAAATATAAAATATAAAATATATACTATACATTTGCGAAATGAAAGAGGACAGTTTTTTTATGTTCAGTTTGATATGTTCTGCCGGCTTACATAACGAGTGTGTCATTGATTTCGAACACCCTGTGTGTGTGTGTGTGTGTGTGTGTGTGTATATATATATTCCGTGATCCTTATTCCGAACTCTTTTTTATCGATAAAAGCTGCTCTCTAAAAGTGGCTTATAAGCCTTCTGATTGGCTTCTTAATAAGTCACTTTTAGAGACACTTTTATCGATAAAAGGGAATTTAGAGTAAGAGTCTATATATTGAATATGTACTCATGTTCTATATATTCTATGTTGAAAGTTTAAATATTCGCATTTAAGATAGTTACGTATTGTTAGGTGTTATATATTTTTTTTAAGTAGCGCATCAAGGAAACCACTCACTTATTATTTATTACAACTAAATGTTCCTGTACATTCATTTCATTAAGTGTATCCGTATTAATTTAGACGAAAATGAGATAAATAATGATATTTATACATAATGAGATGAGATATATATACATAATGTTACAAATACGACATAAAAC